AGATCGCCACAGTACTCCATGCTAACATCAATATTTATGTGCTAGAACATCTTCAGAAGCCATAATAATCTCCAATCTCTTCTACTTAGTGGTATTTAGATGAAATGAATATATACATATATCATGTAAGCTTTGATCAAGATAAAAGGACTATGTCAGGTAATTGTAACGTGAATACAGCACAATCACATCTGTCTTGAATTCTGCTGTTAAATTGTTTCACTTTTCTTACAGAAAATAGGGGGTGGCAAAATATTATCCTTAGGGATTCAAGCATACAGTTATTCGAGTTATGACTACATATTTATACACAAATCATTTTCTTTGATAGTGCAGCATTTCGAGAACAGTATATTTTAATGTTTAACTCTTTAGATCAGGCTTCCCCAAACTCCGGCCCTCCAGATGTTGCTGAACTACAACTCCCATGATTCTATGAATGAAATAGATAGGCTGACAATCATGGGAGTTGTAGTTCAGCAACATCTGGAGGGCCGGAGTTTGGAGAAGCCTGCTTTAGATGATGGAATTAATTAAAGGTACATGTCAAGGTGAATTTTAACGTACTTTACACCTGGTGACATCCAGGCTCTTGGACCACTTCAAATCGCTGAAGTGGTCATGGTGATTGGAGGAACCCGTTAAGAAAAATAAATATTTACAATTTCTTCCTTTTGTTGATCTTAATTCACAAATGCACACATCACTGATTGTTGCTGTTTTTTTGTAGTTTTTATGAACGTAATAAAACATTTTGAGATTGATCTTGCTCTCTTTGACTATCATTTTGAGTTTAGTCAAGCTAGACGAGAGGTGCTTCTTGCAGTTTCACGTTTCAAGTTTGACTCTGTGAAACAACTCTGGACATCCTCACACTTTGCATGTCCAGTGTGTTGAAAAGACCCACAGCCAGACTTATCCAGGATGTTGCAAGGAAAAAATCTCAGGCACTCACTGTGATATGTTAAGCAGCTTTAATGGATACCACAACATTTTAACCTGTACCCAGGTCTTTGTCAAGCTAACACCACATAAAAAGTGAACATTTATATACACACACATAATCAATTAATTGCGAAATTGCAAAAATCATTAAAACACAGAGTGATATAATTATAACACATAATAATCCAATTAAGAGTTAATGGACTAATTTCTTAAGCTCACCAGCTCCTCTAAAAACATGGCAAAGAGAGGCAGTACATGGCATGTATAATAAACAGAAAAAAGGGTATTAGAACAAACAGAAGAGATCACAAAACTGTGCACACCCCTCTATCATGATGGGAGGTCCACTAAAGTAGCCACACACAGAGATCATAAAAAAGTAACAAATAATCCCTAAAATAAAGAATAGTAAGCCCATATTTAATAAAATACCTTATAAGTACTCCATCCTGGTGGCCCAATGAACGTGCGTCAGATCGAGTACCACGCGCTGTGCATTATCATGTCCATCAAACCCTCCCACAACTAAGGGAGCCCTCACTATCCAGCTAGGGATGAGCGTAACTGGCAGTAAGGCACATGCGCGGACGGCACAACATACTGTGCATGCGCCAGGAATACGAGACAGAAGAGCACACCAAGTGATCAAGGATAACAAAAGACTAACTAAGCCATATAATAGAAGAAATGGGAAAAGAAAAGAACAAAGATAAAAAAGAAATATATGTAAGTGGAAAAAATAAAAAAAAGAAAGAAAATAAAAAAAGAAAAGAGAAAAGCCAAAAAAATAAAATAACAACCATATACACAAAAGTTGTCTGCCATGTACCGACAATCACCAAAAAAGGAGCCAGAGAGCAATCAAAGTTGATATAGCCATCAAAAATACTTAAAAAAAATAAATATATATATATATATATATAAAAACACATCCCTATATATATATATATATATATATATATATATATTTATATAAATACACATACATATACAGAGACACATGAATAAGAGACCTACATTGTCAAATACCACTATACATATCAATGGGAATGGGACTACATCATAAAATACATAGTTTTATACACTAAATTCATACAATAACAAATCTAAAGTGCATTACAAAAATAATAAAAAAATGAAAATAAATTATACCAATATATATATATACAGTCTCACCTGTCAAATATCAATATATACAAATATCAATATACAGATTTATAAGACCAACAGTATATTTCAAGTGCATATAAGAGAAAAGCTCCTACACTAAAAAATATTACAATTAAGTATATGTTATCCAAAACGTGATATCCAACAACGTGACATCTAAAAATTATTTTAGTATTATGTGCATATCTACTAAGGTGCATATTACAATAAAGTGCAAGTGGAAAGTTCAAGTGCAATATGCAATTAAGTTAAAAAAACAAAGTGTTTCAATTAGAGACAGTGTATATATTAAGTAAAGTGCTAATGTTTAAATTGTATTAATCTATAAACAAGTGAATTGTGTATTGCAATAAAATTAATATCATAATGGAATTACATATTTTATAAAATATTATTATTTGAATTGGTGAACTAAACTATGCTTAAATATAAACGTCCCAAATGTATGGCAATTTAATATATGAGGAGATTGGTGATCCCAAGTAGACGGCTAAAGTAAAGTCTCTTAAGAGGGTGAAAGTGAGAAGTAACCCCAACCAGCAAAAGTACCATATATCCTGTGAAGAAATAAATAAAGAAAATTTAGCATTACATTTTTATAAATAAACACATTAAAATGAATTAAAGAATAACTTATTCAGATTAAAGGTAATACATCATATTCCTGGTTAAGACCTTTTGGTGACAGTGTATACAATTCTCTAATCCAAAACGCCTCTCTCAAGAGTAATTTCTTAATCCTATCCCCCCTCCTCAAAGTTTTAGGGACATGTTCTATAATTAGGAATTTTAATTGAGAGATATTAAGATGTGTTTCAGAGAAGTAGAATAGCAAAGGCAAGTCAGTCATCTGTGCGAATAGTAGATTTATGTTTGGAAAAGAAGAGTTACACGTCACAAAATGGTTTATAGGGTATATTTTTTACCACTATAAGGATGATAGAACCATTGTCCTTGTATTATGGAGTGGCATGCCACACAACCATAACAAGGGAAATTACCCTTCTTAGCCATCTTAGATTTAGTTTATCCAGGATGTTGGACTTACCCACAGAGGTGTCCAATCCCTAAAACATTTAGTGACCTATTGCTCCCACATCTCTGCAAGGTATTCAGTGCCCTAATACATGAATACTTCCTCCCTACTGAAATGCTTGCTGCAAATGTCTGACTTGTTCCCAAACCAGGGAAAGACCACCTCGAACCTGGACATTATCCCTCAATTGCATTACTCACATCTGACTTTAAACTTATCATGAAAGCTCTAGCGAACAGACCGAACCCATACTTGTAATCACTAAATTCATCCCAAACAGACTGTTGGTTATGCATCAAAAAGAGACACTGGCAGATTGTGAAGAAGCATATTAGGCTTTACTTGTGTGAATAAACAACAAACAGTTAGAACATGAGCTTTATTTAACACCATTTACCGCACACTACTTTTTGTATATAAATTCTAATCCCTGTTTACACTCTGTATAATCTCTCTAACCAGAACCCTGCAAAACATAAACTCATTCCATAAACCACTGCTGCGGGCTGCGAAACATCAACTATGAATAGCACCATACACAGGACACAGCGAGCTTGACTTCTGTTACTATCCCCTAACCCCCCTTCCCTATTTCAAGTAGTTCTTTGATTCTTTTTTATAGCAATGCGTACATTTATGTAGTCCAGCATGAATCCGGCAGACCTATCTTCAAGGCACCACTAGAGTAAAATTTTGATACGTTTTAAGTGCTTACATTATGACATGAATAGTCTAACCAAAACCAACTTCCATCCAAAGTGCTGAACATCTGCTTATTACCCACCACGAATTTCCTAAAGTTAACAATATATGCTAACTCTTCTGTGCTTTACAATCAGCATCATCTGTACAATATTGCAATTCTACCAGACGCATTAGGTTTCCAAAGTTTTTACACTTTGTATATTCAATTTCTGTATACTGTTTTGTTTATAAATATAAAAAGGACAATAAATAAAGTTAAAATAAATAATGTAAAAAATAATGTAATAATAATAATGTAATAAAGAATGTAAAAAAGAAAAAGAAAAGAAGAATATGGTATAGCCGAGATCGGATCAATGTATGGGGCAAAGAGGAGATGGGGAGTCTCCTGACTATATTGCTGTGCAATGTCTCTGGCCTGGTGTCATCCCCTTGTCCCTTGGTGGTGTCAAACCTAACAGTGTGTAAGCCCTTCGCTGTTGGGGGTCTTGAGGAAGGTCTAGTTGTAGTAGAGCATTCATCAGTTCTGCCTCTGAACGTATGTTGATTCTTATGAACAGTCCAAATGGGTAGAGCCCCTATTGCATAAAGTTGAGGTGATACCCTAAGTAGTCTCCTTGTATGCAGTATGAATGGGCAGACATACTCAACAAGGGTGATAGTCACCTTCTGGAATTTAATCTGGTTGGTGGCTCCATGGATGTGTTTCTGGTCAATAATTGATTTAATAAGTGGGTGATAGAGCACCAGAGGTCTTCAGATTCTAGCAAGCCCCTTTCTGATGTTATTATGGCATCCTCTGTTCTCCACATTTTTTTTTTCCAATATATTTTTTATTGGGTTTTTGTTTCATTGTTTACAAAGATTGAACAGTGGGTAATACGTAGTATCACAAGAATACAAAAAGTTGTGGATACAAGGTAACAATAGGTATAACATATAGCACGGTAACAAGTAATCAAGGAACATGTACAAGGGTTCCCGTACGGCTCCTAGTTTCATGGGGGAGTCTACACAGTTGCGGTGGTGCTTTATGCGCTCGTGTATCGAGCGTCCTATACAACAGTTATATGCTTATCGTGGGTTTCTAATCAGAGGATTGTCACGGGCTGGAGGTGTCTATCCGTTCGTCACACAGCTCTTATGGTTTGTTGTCATATAACGCTACCCAGGGGGCCCAGGTCGTGTGGAATCTTTGTGTTGTTTTTGCGTCAGGAGCGGTCATTCGTTCATACGTGTAGTATTGCTGTATTTTATCCCATAATGTGGCTTTGGTAGGACAAAGTGTGGATTTCCAGTTGCAAGCTATCAAATTACGAGCTGCTAAGATGGTAATTGCACTCAGTTGTTTGTGTGCATATTTAAATGATGGGGTGTAACGCATAAGTAGGAATAGTTCGGGGTGATGTCCTCTGTGAGGGACATTAATGGCAGTTAGAGTGTTTTGTACTTCTACCCAGAGGGGTTGTATGTTGGGGCATGACCACCATATGTGCGTATGTGTACCTATCTCCGCCGAGCATCTCCAGCAGAGAGGAGACGTGTTGGGGTAAATTTTATGGAGTGTGTAGGGAGTTAAATGCCATCTGTACAGTAATTTCCTATGTGCTTCTATATGGGTGTAGCACTTAGTCCATTTAGATATGGCGTTCAATGCATGAATCCATTCGTCATCTGTAAGTTGGATAGTGCATTCTGTTTCCCACATTGCTTTGCAATGTGGTGCTGCGTTGGGCAAGGTATTATCCCATGTCTTATAACAGAGGGAAATACTGTTCTTCTTCATAGGGCTTTTCCAGCATCTTTCTATTACTGCCTTTGATGGAAGGGGACCCTGTTCAGGGGATTGTTGTTGTTTGTTTACATGTGTGTGGATGATCCCTTTCAGTTGTAAGTATGTGAAAATAGCGTTTGATGGCAATTCCCATTTCGTTTGTATGTCTGTGAAGGGTAATATTTCTTGCGATCGCATTATCTGGTGAGTATGTTTAATGCCTGCATGTACCCAAGTCTGTAGACGCATGTCTGGTGATATGGCTCTTAAGGCGGTTAGAGGGGCGTTGGGGTGGAATTTTTCTTTGGCCCCTACTGTGTCTAGGAATTTAGACCAAATGTGGACGGTCAGTGTTGTGGTGGGGTATAGGTTTGGTTTGGCTGGTCTATGTTTTTTCGGTGTCCATAGGTAGTCTAGCATTGCGTTCTTATCCAACTGGGCTTTTTCCATGTCTACCCATTGGATGATACCTTGATTTGAGTGCAATAGTATGCCCGATGCCAGCATCGTGGCTTTGTAGTACTGGTTTAGGTTGGGTAGCCCCACTCCTCCTTTTGTAGGATGTTTGTAGAGTAAAGCGCGGGATATGCGCGGTTTCTTGTTCCCCCATATGAATGAGCTGCAGATGTTTTGTAGGGAGTTGAAGAGTGTTTGTGGGGCTTGGATGGGAAGCATTCTAAATATGTAGAGAAGTTTGGGCAGTAGCATCATCTTGTATGCGTTAATTTTTCCTAGCCAGGAGATATGCGTCTGAGACCATTTTTGTAGGTCTCTTTTGCACTGTTGGGGAAGCGTAAGGTAATTTAGTTTCAGGATTTCTGCTATCGTTGGTGCTATTTTTACGCCTAGGTATGTTAGCGATGTCTTTCTCCAGTCAAAGGGGTAGTTATCTTTCAGTATTGTTTTGGTGGTTAGTGTGAGTCCGACGGGAAGGGCCTGGGTTTTATCTTGATTCAGGCGGTAATGGGATATGTCGCCGAATGTTTTCAGGGTTTCCATGAGGGGAGGCAAAGATCGCTGGGGGTCCCCTAGCGTTATCAGGATATCGTCGGCGAATAGCGCCAATTTATATTCCTGTTCTTGAATTGTGATTCCTTTTATGCAAGGATCTGTGCGAATTTTTTGGGCCAATGGTTCGAGCGATAGGATGTATAGGAGGGGGGACAGGGGGCAGCCCTTGGCGTGTTCCATTGGTGATCGTGAATTGGTTAGATAGGAAGCCACCGTGTGCTACTTTAGCTGCTGGTGATGCGTAGAGTGCCATGATTCCTTTGATGAATTCAGCTGGGAATCCATATTTGGAGAGCACTTGTTGCATATATGTCCAGTTGAGTCGGTCGAAGGCCTTCTCCGCATCTAGTGCTAGGAGGAGGCCCCCGACCGACCCCCTACCCATTGAGGTTAATATGTTGAGGGTTTTCCGGGTGTTGTCTGATCCCTGTCTCCCCCCCACAAACCCCGATTGATCATTGTGTATCAGTTGTGCAATTATCTGGGCTAGTCTGTTGCTTAATATCTTTGCATATAGCTTGGCGTCACTGTTTAGTAGGGATATTGGCCTAAAGTTTTTGCAGATATTCGGGGGTTTCCCTGGCTTGGGTAGTGTGGAAATGTGGGCTAACAGCATTTCCGAGGGTAGCGTTCCCGTGTCATTACAGTGTTGGTATACGTTTAAGAGGTGTGGTGTAATGTGTTGGGAGAATATTTTATAATATCTGTTCGGAAGACCATCTGGTCCTGGTGCTTTGTTGACCGGTAGGTCTGTTATGGCTTTAGCTAATTCTTCGGCGGATATCGGTTGTTTGAGTTTGTGGATGTCGTCTTGTGTAAGTGAAGGTAAAGTAATGCTTGCCAGAAAGGCGTCAATGGTAGTCACGGAGGGTATTTGCACTGTTTCGTCCTCTTTTAGATTATACAGTTTGTGATAATAGTTGGCAAATTCGTTTACAATTTGTTTCGGATCTAGAATTTTTGAACCATTGTTGTTAATAAGGGAGGCAATCCTGGAGGCGACCGATTTTTGTTTGAGTTGAGCAGCCAGTTTTGCTCCGGCTTTGTTACCATAAGTAAAGTATTTGTGTTTGGATTTTTGTAATAAGTAAGTGGTTTTGGCCAATTCATAGTCTCTTAGTTGTGATTGGGCTTTCAGTAAGGCTGCTTGTGTAGCGGGTGTTTGGGATTGCTTATTTTTATGTGTAAGTGCTGTTATCCTTTCTATTAATTGTATATATTGGGCTTGGCGAGTTTTTTTTGCTTGACTCGCGTGCTTAATGAAGCTGCCCCTGATCACAGCCTTATGGGCTAGCCATAAGTATTCTGGCGTAGTACCTGATCTTGTGTTTTCCGTAAAATAGTTTTGTAGATCTGTGGTAATCTGTGAGATTATTGCTGGGTCGTTAAGCAGAGATTCATTGAGTCTCCAGGTTGATCTGCCGGTGGACGGGAATTGCTCAGTTAGAGTTATGGTGATGGGGGCGTGGTCCGACCAGGAGATAATTCCAATATCAGTGTTTATTAGTCTCGATAGAGATGTGGCCTTAATGAGGAATCTATCGATTCTAGAATAGCTGTTGTGTGCAGCTGTATAGCAGGTATAATCTATGTCTGCCGGGTGTGATATTCTCCATGGGTCTACAAAGTTGTGTGTCGTTAGTGTGTGACATATTTGGGATGTTTGTTTGCGGCGTTGTGTTAGTGTTTTTGTAGGTTACCCTTTTGGAGGAGGATGAGTCCATATTTGCATCCAGGAGAAAGTTAGTGTCGCCTCCAAGAATTGCCTCCCCAAAGCTGTACCTTGACAAGAGACAAAACATATCATCAATGAATACAGGTTGACTTTCATTTGGGCTATATACATTCATCAAAGTGTACGGTTGGTTGTTGAGGCGGCATTGTAATATCAGATATCTGCCCTTTTTATCACTGATTTTGCGAATAAGTTCAAAGACAACTGATCTATGAATTAGGATCGAGACTCCTCTTTTTTTTTATGGTAACAAGTGTGGTAATCTACAGGGAACCATGGGGAGTTAAATCTGGGCGTAGATCCCCATTTAAAATGGGTTTCCTGAAAGAAGGCCACTTGTGCCCCTTGTCTCTTGGCTTCTTGGAGGGCTAGTCTGCGTTTGTTGGGTGTATTGAGACCCTTGACATTAAGAGAGAAGAATTTAAGTGGCATATTGCTTGGTTGTATGATGGTATACAGGTAGACACTTGTGTACTTACTCCAGTAAAGGGATTTTTTATTTATTATATTTTTTTTGTTTGTTTTTTTTTTGTTCCCTCTTTTTTTTTGGCGTTAGGGTTTGTTACCGAGACTATGGTACAGGTCCTTAGGTACAGGGATAGGGTTGGGGTTAAACTATGTACACTTGCCCGTTAGCCTCGAGGGCCTGATGCAACAGTGTGCGGACGGGAATTTAATGGCTCACTAGTGGGCCGTCGTTGGGGGTCAGTGGAAGTTTGGTATGAACTAAGTTAGTATTTCCAAAGTGGAATATGTGATTAGATTTGCAGTCTTAACCTTAAATTCTAAACAATATCAAATATAACAATCGAAGAATGAGCAGTATGGACTTTCCGCCAGCCGTGGGCCTATGCGGGGTGGCCACTTGTGCGGTATCAAAATATGTGTTTTGTTTTTTTTTGATTAAATTGCATATTTTAAATCAGTCATGTAATCAGACAACATCATTAGCACAGGTTGTCAGTAATATAACATTTTAAGTGCAAGAAGTTACGTGTCCCGGAGCGTGGAGGAGCGATGGTCACGATCAGTAGTTTCTGCGGCCTTGAGGGGTATTGGTGATCCATGGAAGTTGTTGCCAGTCTCTTGCCATTTTTCGTGGCGGTGGTGCGTCGGCCTTTTGTGTTCCATTCTGTGGAGCAGGGATGGGGATGTTCCAGTCTTCCAGAATCTGTATTCCGTCTTCAGGCGTGAGGATTGTGCGGTCTGCTCCATTTCGTTTGACGAGTAGTTTAGTAGGGAAGCCCCATTTGTATAGGATATTGGCGTTTCTGAGGGCTGTGGTAATCGGTGTAAAGGAGCGACGTTTGGTCATCGTGGCTGCTGACAGATCGATAAATAGTTTGATATCTGTGTATTCTTCTGGTAGGGATGGATTGAGTCTTGACGTTTGCATTATTTGGTCTTTGACCGTAAAATAGTGGAGTCTGGTTATGACGTCCCTTGGTACAGTGATGGGTAGGTGCCGTGGTTTGGGCAGCCTATGGGTCCTGTCCAGGCGGAGGTCTGCCTCTGGCATGGATGGGACCAGAGCTTTGAACAATTTTTGTACATAGTGTGTAAGGTCCTGTGGGTTGATGTTCTCAGGTATACCACGGATCCTTATGTTATTTCGCCTGTCCCTATCTTCATTATCTGCTATTTTTCCTTCCAGATATTTAACTTTGTTTTCCAGGGCTGTGTGTGCATCTGCTAGCTCATTATGAGCAGTTAGTATGCCCTCCGTTTTTTCTGCTAGATGGGCTGTTCTGTCCCCTATTGCCTGTATGTCAGCTTTAATGTCTGCAGCTATGCGCTGGAGGTCTGAAAACAGGGCTGATTTTAATTTATCCAGCATGGTACTCACTGAGGCATTTGTGGTAGGGATGGATGCTTCACTGCTTTGGTAGTGCTGTGAGTCTTCTCCGTCTGCCCCGTGTGTTGGTGAGCCATGCGGTCCGACGCCATCTTGGTCTCCTGAGTGCTCCGTCTGTTGCGAGCTCAGGTGTGAGTCGATCGTTTTTTGTTTTAATTTTTTCGACGATTTGGTCGCCATTGCGCTCGGGGAGAGGTTGGTGGTAAGATGGGCTGAATTTGGTGGCAATTTCGCTGCGATACAAGCTGTGGGGCCCACTATCTCGGCGGAGCTCTCCTTCTATGCGACTGCTTCCATGCGGTCCGTGGCCACGCCCCCCCTGTTCTCCACATTTTTTAATGAGCCTAGTAGCCATGTGTTGTTATATTATTTATTTATTTATAAAATATTTTACCAGGAAAGATACATTGAGATTTCTCTAGTTTTCAAGTATGTCCTGGGTCCGCAAAACATTGCATTGATACATTATGGTACAATAAAATATAAAAACAATATTAATATACAATATATACAAAATTTTACATAAAACAGGTAGGAAATATATAATCAACCATGACATATGCATTCTGTTTTCAAGTATGTAGAGAGGGATCTCTTAAAGGACTTTAGGTTTGGGGAAGATTTTAAAGTGTGTGGGAGGTCGTTCCACAATGGCTGCGCTCTGTAGGAGAAGGAGGATCGGGCCGCTTTCTTTTTGTATTGAGGTAGACTAAATAAAGAGCTGGTACTGGATCGGAGGTTATAGGAGGTAGGAACAGTCGAGGAGAGCATTTTGCTCAGGTAGGGTGGGAGTTTCCCAGAAAAGCTCTTAAACACAAGGCTCGAAAGATGAAGGGTGCATCTGGATTCCCTTTAGCATGTCACAATGGTGAGTCCTGTAATTACATTGTAGCACAAATCGGCAGAACGAGTTATACAATGTATTGAGTTTATTAATGTGGGATTGGGGTGCAGATGCATATACTACGTCCCCATAATCAATGATTGGCATCAGCATTTGCTGTACAATCTTTTCCTTTACTGTAGGGATTAGGCAGGATTTGTTTCTGCACAGGGCACCTAGTTTTGGATAAAGTGTAGATGCAAGTTCTTCTATGTGGAGGCCAAAAGATATATTGGGGTCTAACAACATAACCAAGTATTTGAAAGAGTGGACTGTGGTCAGTGTGCTATTTGAATTAGTTTTGATGGATAGGTGGAAATTGGGTCATTTGTGTAACTTAGGTACTGTTCCAAAGATTATTGTGACAGTTTTGTCAGTGTTTAGAAAGAGTTTGTTTTTTGCGATCCACTTTTCTACCTCTGTAAATTGATCTTGGAGCACAGCCCCAAGCTGCAGTAGATCAGATTTGCTCGTATAGATTACTGTGTCGTCTGCGTACATGTGTACATTTGAGG